CCTTACTGAGAGCCACACAGAGCCCAGAGAAAGACTCCACTATGGGGGGGTCACTGCTTTGTGCAGAGTACCAGCCAAACAGGAAAGGTGATTCCAGGAAGAGTTAGCAAAAAAAAAAAAAATATGTTCAGGTTTCACCTTTAAGGTATTTTTGGACATTTTTTTTAATCAGAAGTGACCAAATGAATTAAAATGGTAATATCTCTCTGAGACCCAATCCTTGTCCCATCTCTACTCCCTTCTTAATGGTTCACAAAATGGGTCATGTTGAAGGGACCAGTTATTTGTCTCCTTGAAAGAAAGAAAATTATGTTTCTGCCAGTGATTTAGCCATATGAAATCATCTCATCACCATTTTCTGGGCCTGAAGCTGCTGTGTCTAAAAGTGCCATTTCATTGTGCTTCACCTCAGTGCTGGAGAAATCGTGAATAATTTAGGTACAAAACTGTTTTTAAATTTTATATTATTTTGAAACTTTGCTTCTTTGGGGTTGGGGCACACTGGCAACACCATCAGTGTGCTGATCTTTAAGATTTTTTTCCTTACCCAGTACCCTCTTTTGTTGGTGAGGTGTCTGTGAGGTCTGTTAGGCTTGCATCCTGTAGCTTCACGGCTTCAAACGTCCTCCCCTTTGGTATGGCCTCTTTGGGGGATGATGGAGCGAGAGAGAAACCAATAGTGCAACTCTTCACTATTCAACTATTTTGATACTGAAAATTGACAAATGTCTTTTTAAAATGAAGAACCAGTCCCTCTCCCCCCAAAAAAGTAATATAGTGGGTAATTGGTAGTTGAAAGTGATGGGAAAGTTTCTATTAGATGACAACTATGGGATGTCAAAATAAGAGTGTTTTTGATTTGGGTATATTGATAGCTTTTTTTAACAATGTAAATGAGGGCAACATATACCTGTGGCATGTCCTAAGGACCTAAATAAATCAAGTGTTTAAATATTATTTGAGGAAAATTGATTTAAAAAGTGAACAGAAGCAGTTATTTGTAGCACAGAATCTGTTTTGGATATGAAGTACCATACCAGAAAACCTTAAGTGTAGGAGTCAAGTTATTTACGGACCCAGAGAGACTTATAAATGTCTTCCCAGATTTAGGCTACATTCTCTTCCCAGGTGCATCTTCTGTTCTTTTTTTCAAAGTTCTTTGCTCTCTATAAAACATATGAACTAATCAAAATAGTTGCTTTTTGCCATTAAGAAAAGTAACCAATGGGGCAAACCATAGTACTTTTCTAGGAAAACTACATTAGTTGAAGATAATTAAATGTGAAATATGTCCATTAGCTATATTGAACTTTTAATGCTGAGGTTTAAAGGAAAAATAAGTGGGGGCAGGGGAAGTAGGTTACTACTATAAGGTAAATTTAGAGATTTTCTTCTATGAACCCAAATGAACAGATATGTAGTACGTATTACCATTATACCTAGAAAAATAGATTTGTATATTGTTGTAAAAGGATTTACTCATCAGCCTCAGTAGCCCCTTGTATTTGTAGCTTATCAACAAATTCCTAAAAAGTCAACTACAACTTCTTTTTTGCCTCCTAGTTCTATCACTTACTATTTGAGGATACTGAGACAGTTTTAGTCTTCCAGTGTCTCAGATGCTGCATCTGCAGGATGGTGATAATAGTGTGGTATCCTGGCCGGCATGCTCAGTAGGTTGGAGCATCGCCCTGTATACCAGAAGTTTTCGGGTTTGATTCTAGTCAGGGCTCTTGACCAAGGTTGTGTGTTTGACTCCTGGTTGGGGAGCGTATAGGAGGAGACTGATGGATGTTTTTCTTACATCAATATTTCTCTCTCTCTTCCTCTCTCTTTAAAATCAATAAACATATCCCACAGTGAGGATTAAAAAAATAATAAAAAACAATAGTTACTGCTATGGGGTTTAATCCCCGTGATGTTGTTAAGAGGGTTATACGTTGGCATGGTGTCTGGCATACAGCACACATCAGTAAATGTCAGGCATTTTTACTGTTACTGTTATATAGTCCTGTTGTTCCATTTGAAAGCTACATTCATTTTAAGGACTTCCTTGGGGTATGAAACGGTGAAATTGGCTAAGGTACATTTGTTTCCAATAGTTAAAATATGAACAATTTTTTTTTTTTTTTTTGCCCTGGATAGACCCTCAAAGCGCACTGCCCTTCTGGTCCTGGTAAATGATCAGAACAGCACCTTGGAATGTGACCAATGGGCTCCAAATGCAGAGGTACCCAATGCAGTGCATCTCTTTTTTAGGGACAAAGAGTGCAAGGTATAGCAATTCTTTTTTAATAATGTATTTTACTAATTATACTATTACAGTTGTCCCATTTCCCCTTTATTCCCTTCCACCCTGCACCCTCCTCCCATCCTCATTCTCCCTTTAGTTCATGTCCATGGGTCATACATATAAGTTCTTTGGCTTCTCCATTTCCCATGCTATCCTTAACCTCCCCCTATTTTCTACCTACCACTTATGCTACTTATTCCCTGTACCTCTTCTCCCTCTCCCTCTTCCACTCCCCCCCTGAAAATCCTCCATGTGATCTCCATTTCTGTGATTCTGTTCCTGTTCTAGTTGTTTACTTAGCTTGTTTTTGTTTTTAGGTTCAGCTGTTGATAATTGGGAGCTTGTCATTTAGAATGGAAGGGCAGATAAAGTGTTTCCCAGATGAGGTCAAGTTAAAGGAGTTCATCACCCCCAAGCTCTTATTATATCAAACGTTAAAGGGACTTGTCTGAGAAAAACAAGATAAAAACTATGAATAGTGAACAACTTTATTTTTAAAAAGTAGCCTGTAGTAGTTTTACTGAATTTGGAAAACATCCTTCCTTCCTCTTTGTCCAAGTCTGATAACTATAGCCAATCTTTAGATATGGCTGCTGCCTCAATTTCATAGCCTTGATAACAGCAGAGGGACTTGAATGAGAGCAAACTCCGAAACCAACAGAAAGCATTTCTATGGTGGTTTAGTAGCGAAGGACTACATTCAGTGGCAGCTCTTTACAAGGAAAGCTAGTTGTAACATTAAAAAGGCCCAGTCACTTTTGACATGATAAAAATCCAAGTGGGAAATTTAAATCTCTCTGCTTTCGCTTGCTTTCTCCCTGCCCCCACCATTTCTTCCTCAAAGCTGAGTATTTCTTGACAATGAACGAAACATGAGCCGATTTAGAAGGCTTATGTTTGGAAACTAAGCCAACTGCATGATTCAAATACTAATTTTGACAGGTGCACCTGCTTTGAGTTTTGGTAAATAGAGAATGCCAGGAAATTCTATCCAACCAAATAGAAGAAAGAAAATCCTTTAATTTTAGGTTCTAGTGTGGGTCATATTTAAACAAAACCTGTTTGTAAAACACACCCATCTGAGATTTGGGGAAAATGGGAGGGCTCAGTTAAAGTAAGATTTTAATTTTTTTAACTGCCAAGAATATTTAATAAAATGTACAATTAGAATCAACACAAAACTTTTCAAATAACTTTATATGAGGCTACATTGGTGAAGATATGTTTAATCCAGAGTAGAATATAATGTGCCTAAAGTTAGTGTAGATTATTTATCTTGAATAGTTAGCTTGATTCTTTCAAGTGCAGTAACAATTTGCAGACCAGAGAGATTTCCCCATTAGTCATTATTACTTTTCTCTGAAATTTCAAATTTCTGTAGGACTCCAGAAAGTAAGAATTTTAAATGACTGACAGTACATTAAGGTTCTGCAACGTGTTCAGGCTGCCTCTCCAGAGCCCCTCCACACACAGAAATCACACCAGTGTACCTTCTTTCCTTCAGCAGCATTATTGGAGACCAATTCTATATGTACAGCAGCTTTCCCTTTTAGCATTTTTCAGCCAGATAGGTGAAAACATTTTATTTTGCATTTAAGTGATTAAAGTTGAGCATCTTTCAAATACTTATTGGCCATTTATGTATCTTTGAGAATTGACTACTTGTATTTAATCTATTTGTTACTGATAATTTGTATTTTTATATTTTAACTTTATTTGGAATCTGTTTTGGCTTAAAGCAGGAATATTAACTGCTGGCCCTCTTCCCATCTCTGGTACGGTTAGCAGTTTTCTCAAGACCATTTATTGAATAATGTTTTTCTGCAGTTTATTTGAAATGGTGTTTATCATATGCTACATTTTTGATCTCTCTCTCTTCCATTCCAAAGTATTTTTAGAATGTGGAGTTTCTGGCATTGGTGCTTACTCTCTCCTCACTGGAGAGCTGTACTGCAGTTGGTGTGGACTATGCATGTGAGAAGTCAGATGGGTGTGAATGCTACACAGGAAGATGGCCATTTGAATTACTGGGACTGTGTGCAGTAGAATTTTAATTTTATTTGGGCCTGCAATTAACTGTTAAATTATTCATAAAGAGTGCACCAAAATATAGCTTTTAAAGAAAATGTTGTTTATATTTTGAATTGCCTATCTGACAGAAGATACTATAGATCTCTCAAAAGATCACGTACTTTTCAAAGCTGAACAGTAGTATGACCGGTTGATGCATGAAGAACTATCACTCAGCAGCAATGTAAGTAAAAATTCTAGTTGGTGTTCAATAATCTGTCAGATGTTCTGAGAGAACCAGCAGACTTTATAGTCACTTTAAAACCATGAAGCTGTACGTTTCCAAGTAAAGATTTTTAAGTTTTAAAATATTTTGTAAAATCTTTTACTTGCTTTGCCTAGCATGGCAGTCCATGCTACAGTACACGTTTCCTATACTGAAGACTTTCTTTCGCTCTAAAATCCATTAATGGCCTCTTTGACCATTACTTCCTAAGAGGAAATTGCTTTTGACCCTTTTACTGAGCTGCCCAAGGTTTCCTATGGCGTGTGGTCTCCCTCACTTCAATGAGCATTAAACTGAAATTTGTTTAATGAAAGCTGTGCTCCTGGTGGTCTCTGCCTGGGGGATATTAACAGAATTATGGATTCTGCACCACCTGAATTAACTGACAAATAATTCTAGGTTAGACAGAAAATGATTACATTTATTTTATTTTACAAATAGATAAAAGCAATCCAGATAATATATGGTAGTTGGTTAGAAATGATTTTTGATATATTTTAGTGATCATTCATTTACATGTATATACATATCACAATGAGGAAAGGTTTAGGAAATTTCCTTGGTTTGGTTTTTGTTTAAAGGAATAAATGTTTCTTTTGAGTAATTTTATAAAATAAAAGTATGATTTTGATGACAGGGGATAATAAGTATTTAGCATTTATTCACTAAACCAACCTAAGAAATAAAATGTTCCTGCTACCTCCAAAGTTAAAGACACTTGGCAAATCTTAATTACACCACAAAGTCTAGAGAGTTATGTAAAAACAAAAAGGCATTTGGGGATTTCTCAAGTTCCAGAAAACCAGACAGAAAGTGCAAGTCATCAGCTAAAGAATAATAATGATAGCAAACAGAGTTCTGTGAACTAGGTACTATAACAAGTCACAGTATCAAATTTCCTCTGCACTAATCCATAAATGAGCTCTATTTGGCCATTATAAATCATTAGATTGTGACTGTTCTTATTCTATGGTTTCAGGTAAATAACTGAAATACAGAAACATAAATATGAGTTCCTAGACGTGGCAACTGCTAAAAACAGTTTTCAGGGCTACATTAGATGCTAATGGTGGATCTACAGAGGCTAATTACAAACTCCATATTAGGAAATAATAAATCCCAAAGAAGCCTTAGCCTCTGAAATATCATTATAGGTTAACAGTTTTACAAGTTTTAAAGATTAAATCAATGTGGAAATAATCTAAAAAACATTCTTTAAGAGGCATCTAGTCTCTTATAGGATTCTTCAATGAAAGCTAACATGTTCTTTGTTTGAGATGAATTATGGAGAACATCCAAGTCCTTCAGAAGAGCGTTCTGGTTGGGAATTTGTGCCAAAATTTCTTTCTGTGGGTACAATGTATGATTAGTTAAAAAAAATTTTTTTGAGACATAGTTGACATATAACGTTATGTTAGTTTTAGGTATATTGCATAATGACTCAATATTTGTATATATTGTGAAATGCACCACAATAAATCTAGTTAACAGCCATTACCACACAGTTACAATTTTTTTACATGATGATATCTCTTAAGATTTACTTTTTTAGCAACTTTCAAAAATACAATGTTATTATTAACTAATTACCATACTGTATGTTACATCCCTATGACTTATTTATCTTACAACTGGAAGTTTGTGCCTTTTAGCCACCTTCACCCATATAATTGGTTTTTAATATTATGAAAAATATCAAATGTATGTTATTTAGAGAATGATATAATAAATCTCATGTACCTATCACTCAACTGTAATAACTATCAACTCACTGTTGCTTTTCTTCCAAATCTGTATTATTCTGTTTTCCCTCTGTCCATTTCTGCTACTTACCCCCTAAGTGAGTTATAGATAGGGAAATTTCAAATTATTTTTTGAGAAAATGTAAAAACTTCCTACCACTATAAACATGTACACTATGATAGCTACTAGGGTCCTGTGAATAGACAAGTTACCAGTGTGTATAATCTATTACAAATAAGACATAATATTATTTTATGAAGAGTTATATGCCACTGTTAGAAGCATAAACAAAAGCAACTGTCAGAATTTACTGCCAGAATCTGTCCTATAGTTATATGACCAGACAAATGTGCAAAAATAGATGTACAAGAGTATACTCAGCATTATCTGCACTTGCAAAACTTATTTATTTCCATCAGTAATTCACAAAGTATATAATGGTACATCCACACAATGGAATTCTATACAGCTACTGATAAGAATGAGATACATCTACATAAATTGACAAAGATGTTCAAACTTTAGTGTGAAATGAGAAATGAATATTTATGTCATGAATTCCATTTGTTTTTTTAAACAGGATATATAATATTTTAAAATATCTAATTCATAACTAGTGATAGTCAATATAGTAAACTGGTTCTTACCTGAAGTATGGGCGCTTTGAGACTCTTCTGAGAAAGTTCTGGAAGGGAGAGTACCCTGTTACTATCTATGTGAAACATCTAAAGTAGAAAAAGAAAGCTACAGATTATTTCAAAAGACTAATTTCTCTCAGTTTATTACACGTAATGAAAGTTGTCTTGGTAAAATGTAAGCATTAAAAATTACATCCAGGGTCTAGCAATACATTATTACACAGTTACCTGTTTTACCTTCTCCTCCTCTTCTTCCACCTCACTTGTCAGAACTTGAATTTTGTCCTTTAGGCTCTGAATGTTCCCAGTCACTGACTCTGTGGTCTCTACTATTTTATCTATTTCTTCCTGAGTCAGAAAGAGAAAGTTAATAATTCAAATAAAATGTTTTATTAAATAAAACTAAAAAAGATATTAATATACATATTTTAAAAAACATCTTCTATATTAAAAACTGCTAGAAGAAACTGGTAAATATATTTTTTCTTTTAAAAAACAGACTTCCTAGAAACTAATTTACCAAGGCAATAGTGTATTACAAGGAAACAAAAAGATATAGCCCATGTACAAGAACGTGTCCTCAGAAACTTACCAAAGCTGCTAGCATCAGAGATTCTGGAAGACCCATGTAAATCCAGCACAGCCCATGGACTGATGGTCTGAAAATACTCTGTGTTCTGCCTGTTCATCTTTACCCCATCGCACACCCCTGACAATCACTGATCCTTTTATTGTCTCCACAGTTTTGCCTTGTCCAGAACGTCATATAGTTGCGATCGCACAGATATAGCCTTCTCAGATTGGCTTATTTAACTTAACTCCATGTCTTTTCAGGGCTTGAAAGCACCTCTCTTTTTAATGCTTAATAATACTCCATTGTTTAGAGGTGCCACAGTTTATTTATCCTTCAACTACATCTTGTTTTTCCCCTAAATTTTGGCAACCATAAATGATATTGCTGCAAAGATCCACATGCAGTATGCTCCTGGGTCACATGGCAAAATGTTTAGTTTTGTGCCAAGCTATCTTCCAAAGTGGCTGTACTACTTTAACTTACACCTCAGTCCTAATTTCCTATGAATTGGTTGTTGGATTAGGAGACCTCTATCAAATACAACTATGATGTAAACTACACGTATTAGTTTCCATGTCTGCTGTAACAAATTACAACCAACTTGGTGGCTTAAAACAACAGAAATTTATTCCCTCACAATTCTGGAGGACAGATGTCCCAAATCCAAATCATGGTGTCGGCAGGGCGGTGCGCCCTCTGAAGGCTCTAGGAGAGATTCCTTTCTTGCCTCGTCCAGCTGCTGAGGCTGCCAGCACTCCTTATAGCGGCACCACTGCAATTTCGGCACGTTTGCACGTGGCCTTTTCCTTCGTGTCAGTGTCTCTTACAAAGACACTTCAATCTCTTGAAGGACACTTGTCACTGGGTTTAGGTCTTGCCCCAAATAATCCAGGATGATCTCATGTTGAGATCACATCTGGGAGATTCCCTTTCCAAATAAGGCCACATTCCAGGAGCTAACATTTAGACATATCTTCCTGGGGTCCTCCATCAACTCATATAGAAAGGAATGAATAAGAGCACTGAATGAAGAGTTAATAATAAAGACTAAAAATTATTAAAAGTTAATTTTGTTCCATTGCTTTGGTTATTTCTTTGGGTATTCCTACCATACCCATGTTGCATATTCTTTGCCAAACTTTTGTATTTACCACTTTTTTCTAGAAAACTTTAAAAAACAATCTTTCTTTTTTGATTCTTAAAATTTTCTTATTTTACCTTCTACTTATTGTAAGCATTACCTGTTGTGTTTCTTTGCTTTAGTACTCCTTCTAATTTAGTCTGCATATCCAAAGGCTTTTTCTTTTATTTCTAATTATTTCCTGAATTCTGTAACTTCATTTTTCAGTACAGCTGGTCCTCAAATAGTGTTTTTTCATTCAACTTCATTTTGTTATAATGTTGACAAGGAAAAGAAATCAATTCCCTGCTGGGGCCAACCTGTGTGGAAATTGCTTGTATTCCCCATGTCTGTGTGAGTTCTTTCCAGGTTTTGGAAAGTCAACACCAACCAACAATAACTCTAGGCTGCAGTAAAAAAAAGTAGTGGTTCTAAGTAATACACATAGGAGAAAACGAATAAATACAATTCTACAAACTCCTCATTCAGACACACTCTTATGCCAATGAAGACCTCTTATGCTCACAATACCAACAATGCTTCCATTGAGTACTGACTATAGAGCAAAGCACAAACTGCTATGATGTAAGAAATATATATTTGGTCTTGTCCCTGGTTCTTGGCACAGAGCTTCTAAAACCCTTGTAGCTTCCTAAGTAATGGGGGCAGTAGTAAGAGCACATTTAGTTATAGCATTTGTTTTTGTCCTAGTTCTTGGCACAGAGCTTCCAAAACCCTTGTAATTTTCTGAGTGATTGGGGTGAGAGGAGCATCTTTTGTTATTCCTAAGTCCTTTTCAACCTTACCTGCGTTTATGATAATGAATGACTCACAGAGGATGAAGGCTGGTTATTGGAACAAACAACCTGTGATTGGAGAACTGAGACTTTCAGCCATACTCCTTCATCTCTGAGTAGGGCAAGGGAGCTGGAGATTTAGTTAACAATCAACATGCCAACTAGATGAGGCTTGCATAAAACTCTCAATAATGGGGCTCAGAGAACTTCCAGGATGGTGATCACCTCAAGGTGCTGGGAGGATAATGGGCTAGAAGAGACATGGAAGCTCTGCACCCCTTCTTTTTGGCTGTTTCTGAGTTGAGTCCTTTAAAATAAACTGGTAATAGTAAGTCAAGTGCTTCCTTAAGTTCTATGAGCTATTCTAGCAAGTTGTTGAACCTAAGGAGGGGGGTCATAGGGACCCCCAATTCATATACTTGGTTGGTGAGAAGTACAGGAGGCTTGGGCATGCAACTGGGACCTGGGATCTGACGTGGGAGGGCAGTCTTGTGGGACTCAGCCCTTAACCTGTGGGGTCAGTGCCAACGCCAGATAGTGCTAGAATGGAATGAAAATGCAGGGCACCCAGCTAGTGTCCACAGAGAATTGGAGGACTGATTGGTATGGAGAAGTCACACATTTGGCATCTTAAGTGTTGGGTATAGGAAAAAAGTTTTTTTCCATTTGTATTTAAGCTTTTGGTACATGGAGGTCTAATTTTAGTTGTAAACAAATGTCTCCTAGTATTATAAAAATCACATTATCATTTATATCTCTTATAATTTTCAAGTGATTTATGGAAATACTAACCATTAATAGTAACATTTACCATTATCATACTTTAAGACCTTTTAAAATAACCTTAAATGTTAGACCCAAAAGCATAAAAATCCTAGAAGAAAACATAGGCAGCAAAATCTTGGACATTGCTTGTTGCAATTTTTATTGGCTATATCTCCTGAGTCAAGGGAAACAAAAGAGAAAACAAAACAAATGGGACTATCAAACTAAAAAGTTTTGCACAGCAAAGGAAACCATCAACAAAATAAAAAGACAACCCAAAGAATGGGAGAACATATTTGCTGATACAACTGATAAGGGATTAATATCTAAAATTTACAAAATACTTAAAAAATTCAACACCAAAAAACAAACAACCCAATTAAAAAATGAGCCAAGGACCTGAAAAGACATGTCTCCAAAGAGGACATACAGATGGCCAATAGAGACATGGAAAGATGCTCAATGTCACTAATTATCAGATACATGCAAATTAAAACCACAATGATATTGTCTCACACCTGTCAGAATGGCCATCATCAATAAATTGACAAACAACAAGTGCTGGTGAGGATGTGGAGAAAGGGGAACCCTTTTACACCAGTGGTGGGAATGCAAACTGGTGCAGCCACTGTGGAAAGCAGTATACATACCTCAAAATATTAAAAATGGATCTGCCTTTTGACCCAGTGATCCCACTTCTGGGAATCTATCCAAAGGAACCCAAAACACTAATTTGAAAGAACACAAGCACCCCCATGTTCGCTGCAGTGTTATTTACAATTGCCAAGATATGGAAGCAGCCCAAGTGTCCATCAGTGGATGAGTGGATAAAACAACTGTGGGACATTTACACAATGGAATACTACTAGGCCATATGAAAGAAGAAGTTTACCCTTTGCGACAGAATGGATAGACCTGGAGAACATTACACTAAGTGAAATAAGCCAGTCGGAGAAAGACAAATACCATATGATTTCACTCATATGCGGAATCTAATGAACAAACTGAACAAACAAGGAAAATGGGGACAGACTCATAGGTGGAGAGCAGGATGACAGCTAGGTGAAGGAGGAATGTTAGGGGGTGGAGTGATTGAGCAAAAATGAAAAAGGACTCATGGACAATAGTGTAGCAACTGCTGGGAGGAGGGGGATATAAGGGGTCAAAAAGGTAATATAAAAAAAATACAATAAAGATTAAATTAAAAAGAAAAAACAAACATCAAACTCACAGAAACAGTAGGAGAGTGACTGCCAAAGGCTGGGGGAAGTGTTGGTAAAGGAAATAGGGAAGGTATGTTAAAAGGACACAAGCTTTTAGTAATAATAAGGTCTAATGATTTAATGGAAAACATGGTGATTATAACTGATAACATCATATTGTGTAGCTGAAATCTGCTAAGAGTAGAACTTAAACAGTTTACCCACATCCCTCCCCAAAATATATATGTAAGATAATGGATGTGTTAATTAACTAGATGGAGGAATCCTGTCACATACAATCCATACATATATAAAGTCATCATGACGCACATTTTAAATATCTTATAATTTTATTTTTCAATTATTCCTCAATAAAGCTGAAATTAGGCCCTGACTGGCATGGCTCAGTTGGTTGAGCACTGTCCTGCAAAACAAAAGGTTAGGGGTCTGACTCCTGGGCAGGGCACATGCCTAGGTTGCAGGTTTGGTCCCCAGTTCGGGGAGTGCAAGAGGCAACCAATTGATGTTTCTCTCACACATGGATGTTTTTCCCCCTCTCTATCTCTCTCCCTTACCTCTCTCTAAAAAATAAGTAAAATCTGAAAAAAAGAAAAGCTGAAATTAAAACAAACAAACAAACAAACAAACCCATACTAATGTCATCCAACTGTTAGAACTAGTGCTAGTACTGAAAATACATTCTTGAAAAACAGTAACATTGGGGGAAAATTACACATAATCTCACCTTATGAAGAAAGCCAGGCAATCACTAAAAAATACCATCCTATTAATTTATAGTATTTGTAGATTTGTTGCTTAGAAACAAATTCTTCAGCATCACCTAAATTATTGAATATGTGAAAAAGCTGGAATTATCTGTGAATTTGAACTTTGTATTTATTGAATTGCTAGGTCTAACAAAGAGCTAAGCACCACACTGACAAACTCGGAAATTACTAAGGGATATATATATAGTCCAATCTATTTGTTTTAGTTTTTATAATTATTTAATAAACTCCTTAAGGTTGCTTCTCTTTCTCCCTCTTTGGTTTATCTGCACTTTTTAAAAATAACAGTTGACATTATTTTATATTTGTTTCATGTGTACTGCATAGTGGTTAGATATTTATATAATTTATGAAGTGATCTCCTGATAAGATGCTTTTCTTAACTGTTCAAGTATCCACTAATTAAAAGGCTGAAGTTAATGATGACAGCTGATGTTATTACCGTTAACTCCTAAGGATAATCTTTAGGAATCATGCTCTGTCTGATGTCAGACTGACTAGGTATGCATTACAACTTTAAGTAGTTTGTTTAAGGTTCAGCTATAAATGTTAATATGTCTCTTTTTTGCATTTGTAGAATGAGGATAATACAGCACAGACCTCCTTAGGTCATTGTGAGGATTAAGGGCTGTAAGTGGTTAGAACAGTGCCTAGAACAATGAAAGCCCTCATTACATGTTTGCTATAATGATAACAGTAATGATGATGATTGTGTTCCTGAAAAGAAAGTACCACATACAGGATGGAAAAACTGTTTTCAAATAGAATTTAGTGATGAGTTCCTACAGTATAATAATGAAAAATACTACAATAGTTCAGTTTTAAAGTTTTAAAAATAAAAGATACCTAATCACTAAAACATTAGAAATATTTATAACTTTAGAGGCCCCAAGTTTTGCTTAGATTAAAAAAAAAAGAGTTTAATAAAAAAACCCAATACAAGATCTAGTACTTATTACTAGCAGAGTATCATAATAATTTTAGGAACTTTTTGGTCTCTTCCCCTTCCCCCTAATTATGGACTCACTGTTGAAATCCCATACCTGCAATGATGCCAGACCTTCCTCATTAGCTCTGTGATGCACCTTTTCCATTTGCAGTAGACTTGACACATTAGTTAGATCTTTCAGCTTTTGGGAAGGGACTTTTAGGGTTTCACACAGTTGAAGCAATCTTAGGGATGGAATAAAAACACAATTATTAGTTTACACTCTGAGTACCATTAGTATTATTTTTATTTTGTTTTGAAATACTGTTGTCACCTTTTTTGCCCGCATATTCCCAAGGGCTATAATCTTTTATTAACAGTGGCTGACCCTAGCAGTAAGTCTCCCCAAAAAGACCTGAAAAATCATCATTTAACCTTTCATTTCATTATGATTTACTTCAAATCATGGGGGCATTTAGGCTGCTTCATAAAGGAAAATTTTCTATTTTACACATTTAACAATTACATGCATTTCAAAATAAAAATTTCCTTGTGTTTGCTAAATGTTTCCTAGACTATTTTATTTTAGCTCATAAGCCTACCACCTATTGTGAATTACTGGGTAAGAGATGAGCACCACTCTGTAAATCTTAGCTACGAGCCTGAATTCCAAATCTCAGTTGTTTTAGAGAACATGACCAGGACTTCATTAATTAATCTAATTTGATGACATTAAAGAAAACAGAGCCCCATACACTTTAGGACAAATAAAATGCTAAGATTAAAGTGCTCTGTTCTGAGGTACTATCAATATGAATAGTATTCAATATTAAAGTTAAAAAATCTTCCTATGAATTAGGTTGATTACAGCATCAATAGAAACTGATGTATCACTACCCTCACTTCTAGTAGTGAGTAATATACTTCCCACAATTTAATTCTTGAATTCCATAATAGTTAAATCTAAATTTGGTTGCTTCTACTTAATAGAAACATTTTGGAGTGCTTTGTTGTATTACCTAATTTGAACAGTGGAACCCAACACATCTTTCTGGATCTTATTCAAATGATTAATTTTTATAAAAAAAAAGTAGGCAATATAAGCCCCACCAATCATAAGTTTCATTAAGCTGTTAGGATAAGCTTCAGTTATCCAGAAAATCATCATTAGGACATCACATTTAAGCATAAAAACCTGTCTGCATAAATCTTCCCGAGAGAGATAAGCTTTTGATTTCTTAACTAAAATAAAGTTTCCAATGATGAACAGTTTTTTTATAAAAGTTTATTAAGTCAATTCTGTGGAAGGGTTATCCACTGTTCCAAGTGTTCTAAATAGTGGTCAGATTTCCAGGATTCTCTTAAGATCTAATAAAACTAAAGGTATAACATAAATACACCCTGCTACAGCAACAACACCTAATCACCATTTATAATACTGTTTCTACAGACAACTTTCCCAAAATATGTTCCTCTAGAAACTGTAAGGGCTAACCAACTGAAATCACTTTGCTAAGGCTGTATACATGGCTACGTCAGTAAAAGGGAAGGTATTTGAGTATTGTTATTTTGGGAATGAAGGGGAGTGAGATGTGAAAGCAGAAGTGAAGAGAAAACAGGCAGTCTTGAACCGTATGTCTCCATGGCTGCTACATGATGAAGCGACAGCCTACCTGTTGGATAGAATTTAATCTTTTCTGATGACCCAGGGTGATCAGTGAACAGCGCTACTATGCACTGTTATATCCTCGTTTACACACCAAACGTGATTATTTGTCCTATATTAAAAAGACTACAAATAGCGACACCTTTATTATACATTATCTTACTAGCTTTTTTAGTGCATTCCTTCTTCAACATTAGGCTGTTATTCCTATAAGCCATTTACAAGCCCATTTCTAGTAGTCTTTCTTTAACGTCTTCTACCTCTCTTCATGAACTTCCACCCAATCCCAGCTTTTACTTTGCTGCTATCCTTCAGAAATTACAATTCAAGTAAGCAGAATTTGTGCTTAGTCTTCCCAAGAATAAAGTACTAGATCACAAACATTTCCAGGCATACCAGTAAGACACAGAACATTCCTCTACGAAAATGTACAAAATACTAGAAAAACGTAGTCACTGAAAAGCATTGACAGTGGTATGACTTTAAAAACAATTTTTTAAAATTGTTATTTTAAATGGCTGTTGTTTTCAGGTTTCAGAAAGGTGCACTGCTAAAAGTACAATTAACAAAAAGCAAAATAGAGGAATGTTTAAATAGCAGCAAAGAGCGCAACAGTTTTGTCTGAATCATTAATAATTTAAATTAGGACAAAAGCTATTACTGTGAAAAAATTTTTTTTTAAGATTTTACTTATCTTTACAGAGAGGGTAAGGGAAAGAGAAAGAGAAGGAGAGAAACACTGACATCAATCGGTTGCCTCTCCCACATGCCCCAACTGGGGACCTGCCTGCAACCCAGGCATGTACCCTGACCAGAAACTGATTGTGGGATGATCTCCATTCAACTGAGAGCCACACTGGTGAGGGCTGGTGTGACTTTTTAACAACACATGAAAAGAAATCTTTATTTGTAACTTGCCACAAGATGAAAAACAGTAATAACCTGGAAAGGGACTCTTGCTGCTTGTGCAAATAAAGTAATATGATATAAAGTTAAGAAAAAACACAGCAATAGGACAAATATTTTATAGGATAAATAAGAGTGGTGAACTCTTAACTTCAAATTGTTCAAAACGAAATTAAAGGGAGTTCAAGTTGACAAAATGATTTTCAAGTCCCAATACAGAAATGTGAATTACGGAAGCAGGCATTTTGTAATTTTCAGATTCTTTATTAAAAATTCTCTTAACGAGCCCCATCTGGTGTGGCTCAGTGGATTGTGCGCCAGCCTGTGAACCAAAGGGTTGCTGGTTCGATTCTCAGTCAGGGCATATGCTGCCAGGTCCCCAGTAGGGGGCACATGAGAGGCAACCACACATTGATGTTTCTCTCCCTCTCTATCTCTCTCTTCTCCCTTCTCTAAAAATAAATAAATGAAATATTTAAAAAAAAACACATTCTCTTAAAGAACTCAGACTTACATATAGCAGCAGTTTAGGACAGAATATACATCCCCAAATTGTTCCTCTTTTTAAAACGACAACAAAAATCCCAAATGAAAAACTTTTATATGCCACAGATGTCTGTTCTAGCAACATAGAGGCAGATCAGATTTTTGCTAAATATGTTTTAATCATTTTCTATTGCATAATTATCTTACCTTTTCTTCAGGCAGTTAAGATGATATTGAATTTGTTCATTTTCTCTACCTTTGTTGCTCAAAATTGCTCTAGAAAAGAAAAAAAAGGATTGAATAAATGTTAGTCTGTAACACAACTAATAAAATCTGTTTAGTTTTTCTCTTTGATTTCTTTCAAGTGCCTCTCCTTCCTAGCCAGACTGAATCAATCACTTTTCCTTCTATATACATTTTAAGCAGAGGTATAATAAAAGTTCTTTTTATCATATTATATGTTATATTTGATTTATATGTCTGACTCTTCTGATGTATTTCAGTTCCTTGATGGCAGAATCCTGATTTCCTTTGTATTGAATCTCCTCTGGCATGGTAAGTTACATATAAAGGGTCAATTTAAACTCAACTTCTTCTTTAAGTGGCTCCTATTTATAGAACGTGTTAAAGTTTACAGGTCGGGCCACACAGACTTCATTTTTATTTCCCTGATGGAATTCTGAGTTTCTGAAATTAACAAAGACTTTTTTTACTAAGGTTAATGCCATTGAAAGAAAACAAATATATCTTCATCTGCAAGAGAAAAATCCCCTACCACCATAAAATAGATAACATTTAAAAGAAGACTGTCTATGGAATATATAAGTAGAAATTAAATGTTAAATGGAGAAATTTCATACTCACATTATTACTGTCTCCATCATAGTTTGCAGATGCTTTCTGCTATTCTTTGAAAGAGGTTGCCAGGTTTTTCTCCTGCTGAGTGCTATCTTTACCTGTTTTAGACTAGTTTGCTCTGACTGTCTTGTTTCTGGTGAAAGAAGAGACTGGTCAATCTAGAAGGTTACATGTTTCTACTTAAAAAGTGACTGAAGTATAAATTTATATAAATGAGCTAATGGAATCATGAGAACCAAAATATTATAAAGGTTTATAAATTGTTTAATTTCCTTTTTTTATGCACAGCCATAACATGCCAGGTATTGAATATGAATATGCTATCTACTGTTATCTTAACTAAAATAATATTAACTGATACTATAGATACAAACCCAAGACTATTTTAAATGAAGAGCCAAGCTACAATGACTAGGAGTCAACATAAGAGTATGGGTCTCAGAAATGGCCTTAATTAAAGAGTTTGTTAAGGCTAGAAAACTGTTCTACTAAATGTTGGATGGCAACTGGAACAAAAGAGATTAACCAAACCATAGTCAATGTTTAGTAGACTGTTAATTGTTCTACTTACAAGGGATAAAAAGTGGAATTATACTATTGGCTCACAGGAGACTTGTTTGGGAAGAAGGGAGGTTAAATAATTATAGATGCAAAGCATTATAAAAGCAAAAGTACTGTGCTCTATGGAAGTATAAAACCAGATGATGTAATGAGGTCTTGGGTGAAAAAAGGTAGGGAATTCTTCTAGGAAAAGGTGAAATTTAAGTAAAGATGAATACTTTAAAATAATTTACTGTGAATAAAATTAGATAGTTATTCCAAATTAATCTATACAGTGCTAGCAGAACAGAAGGATATTTGTCTTGAAGAGAAATCAGGATGTGTTTCTATGTATCACAGATCAGTAATAATTCCAATTGTGGTACACGTTTTTCCTAGTTTCTATCAATTTTATAACCCTACACAATATTTTGCTAGGTATGGTAAATAAAATTTCAGTTAACCAAAATAACTGACTAACCAGTAAAACATATTCTTGCAAAAATGAGAATACTGCTATTTACTACCATCTTTTACTTTTGCAGAACTCATGAACAAGATGCTGATAATTTTTTCATGAGTATAGGTAGCTTGAGAAAGACAGTCTAAATAAGATACAGAAAAGAAATACCTTCAGAACACAGACGCTTTGGATGATTTTTATTTTTTTTCACTGTGTTTCTAACCTAGAGGGAAAAACATGTACACATACAAAGAGAGAATTAAACATTACATAAAAAGCTATTACTTTGGTAATAGAGTGGTCATGTATATTGAAGGAAATTCATATAACTTCTGGTTACATAGAAAGAAAGCATATTGCCACTTTTACAGAAAAAGGTTATACTTGTCACAGGCAAAAATACACTAAAGCAATTCCTGGACAATGGTGCTAATGTATAATAGGACTTCAGACTGTATCAAACAATGTTTTAAAGAAATTATTACTCATTTTACCAGTGAATAGTGTTATATACTGTACCTGTAAAACAAACAGAGGCTTTTAGAAGAGATGGGTAAAATTATGGTAGGAAAAAGCTAATTCCTACCAAACTAATTTTTCTTGGTTGTAATAAAAGTCTCTACCAACTGCCAAATACCCTTGTCTTTTAACATATGAATGCCATAGTTAGTACACTCTATTTCCAGTCTTCTCATTTAAAGACCTTACCAATGCCCAGGATCCGCTCCTTCTCAAAGAATTCTTGGATCAATACCTTCAGAATTGAAGTAAATAATTTCTATCTGGGAACTTTTACAAATTATGCTGTAACAGTTACCATATAACAATAAGAAGTACTATAACTTGCAGTAAAAGTGACCTTCAGTCCTCAGATACTCCTTTGTAGAGAATGAATGATATTTTTAATAGAGTTCTGGATGAGCCCTGACTGGTGTGGCTCAGCGGATTGGGTGTCGTCCTGCAGACTGAAAGGCTGCCGATTTGATTCACAATTGGGGCACACGCCTGGGTTGCAGGCCAGGTCCCTGGTTGGGGGCATGTAAGAGGCAACTGACACACACACTGATGTTTCTCTCCTTCTTTTTCTCCCTCCTCCCTCTCTAAAATAAACAAATAAATACAAATCTTTTAAAAAAAGAGTTCTGGATGATAAACTAGATATTTTCATCACCTCTTTCTTTGGTAACTCCACTTCCTCACCACCAGTTTTTCTTTTTGGATTTCTTTTTAACTGTTGAGATCTTTTCTTGGGAGTGTGTGCTTTGCTAGACATCTTGATCTAAATAGAACAATTGTAAGAGTGCTTCAAAAAATCTGTAAAGATAAAAAGGACATAGAAAAATGCTTAAGATTTGCATAGTATTCTGTTCAAAAGACTACCTATAAATGTTCCAAATTGGCTTTTTAAGCATATTTTAAAAACAATAACATTGGTTCTTATTAAAGTAAGGATATCTAATTCAATTTCATTCCTAGACATTTTCCATTTGTATGGCTTTTAAAATCATTTAAAAATGCTTTTGCATCTCTCCCAAACAATTACATATCTCCATGTTTACATGCAAGAAAAAGAATATATAAAGTGTTGAATTGTCTTACTCAGGTCACAGATAATTCTGATATCTATTATCTCACAGATATTACTCAGGTCTCCTTGGTTGAAGCCTAATGGATTTATCATTCAATGTATGCCAAAGATAGGAGGAGATACTTTTTAAAATGATACCATGAACCTATCTTATTCAGATTTATGTAGTAAATTCACTCATAAAAAAAATTTCAGTTATAAATCAAAGCATCGCAGGTTCGATTCCCAGTCAGGACACATGCCTGGGTTGTAGACCATGGCCCCCAGCAACCGCACATTGATGTTTCTCTCTTTCTCCCTCCCTTCCCTCTCTAAAAAATATAAATAAATGAAATCTTAAAAAAATATATTAAAAAAATTTCAGCTATAGAACTCTCTCTGGGTTTTGTGCATTTCAACAAGAGCACAGAAGTATACTGAGTCCTCTGTCTACTGCCCCCTCCCAAACCCACAGATTAAAAACCAGGCACAGAAGTGGTGCTGGGGGTGCTAATGACAAAATTTAGAATCATTCCTTTTCTCTATTTAATAGTCCTTTATCACCAAACTCATTTCTGCTAAAAGGAACAGAAGAATAGGGTATTTTTTCTTGCATTAGGCCTTAAGGAGTAAGTAGCCAGAAATTAGGTACAGTATACATGGATACACACACACACACACACACACACACACACACACACACAATGTGTGGTATATACATTATATGTATATATTTTTAGGTATATACAGCTAGATATATAAATCAATCACCATTCTTTTTCTAAAAATTCAGAGTTAATTACATTAATATAGTTTATATATGTAAATTTAGACACATAATAAAAGGGGCACTCTGGATAAATCTATTCCCTCCAATTTTAAAAGGAAGTTTCAAGCTCCCTCCCACCCCCAGTAAGACTGACAACAGTGGGAAAGAAACAGTTGAAAGATCACACTTGGGAACTACATGTGAGATCAGTTACAAAAAGCAGAACCTCAAATATGCTTTACCCTGCTCTTGAAAAATGTGGTACCTTACTCTGCAGCCAGTCTGCTAAGTCCCATTCCTGAAATGCCTAATTCTGTCAAGGTGACATTCATGTCCTTGTATTCCACCTACTTGCAAACCAATTCATAGGGTGTTTCCCTTATGGATCTCTCCTGGAGGGGTTGTCATAGATAGCAGTTCAGGTTGTTGACTGAAAAAGAGTATCCAGGTGGGGAAGCAAACAAGAGCCACAATTTATTTGGCCCTTAAAGTCCTCACTTTATTTGGCAGCTTACAAATGGTACAAACTCCTTTCACTTCTATTATTGAAATATGAAGTCTATGGTCCCTTATCTTAAATCTTGGCAGACACTGCAACTGTCTGAGGAGAATATGGTGGAAATGATTCTGTACCAGTTTATTGGCCTAAATGCTAAGAGACGGGCAGCTGCAACTCTGTCTTGCTTGGAATATTTACTCTTGGAACCTATCTACCATGCTATGAGGAAGGCCAACATGGAGAGGAACTGGAGCTTGAAGCAAAAGCCCCAGTGGAACTCCCAACCAACAGCTAGCACCAACTTGCCAGCCTGGTGCATGTACCTGAGCCAACATGCTGCATCTGACACTGTGTGGAAAAGATATGAGTCAGTCCTACCAAGTTTCTTCCAATCTCAAATTTTGGAACCAAATAAGTGATTTTTTTAAAAAATAAAATCTTTCTCCAACACCTGTCTAATAACATCTACATTCTTTACCATGCTGTTTAAAGTCCTTAACAATCTATCCCTGTCTAGCTTTCCATACTTCTCTCCTGCTACTCCATTTGCATCCCCCTGGCTGGCTAGATTTATGATTTCCTGGACACACTTTGAGTAAGGCGCACACTTTACCCTCTAGCGGAGCTGCTCTCTTGTGTCTCTGCCCAGTCTCTCTGATCATGAGCCACCTGCTTCTCAAAGCCTCCTAACCACTCTACTTCATTGCTCTCTAAAAGTCTGTGGGCTCCACTGGTCTCTTACTTTCAGCTGGCACTTACAGTATTCATTTAGAAACTTTTATAGCAATTTGCAACAATTTTGTGCATATTGAAACTGATCATAGAATAATTGGCTGTGATCTTTCTTTTTATATCTCATTTTTGTAGTAATTATTTTTTTCCCGAAAATATAGGCTTTCTTTTTTAGAACATTCTTAGGTTTACAGCAATATTGAGCAGAAAGTACAGGGAGTTCCAATATACCCCTGTACCTCCCACTACAACCCTTCCCCACAATCAACATCCCACACCTGAGTGGCACATTTGCTACAAGCTATGAACCTACACTGACACATCATAGTACTCAAAGTTTACAGTCTTCATTTATGGTATTACACATTCTATTGGTTTGACTAGTAATTAATTTTTAATTGTAATTTACAACAGTGTCAGTTGTGACTAGTTAAAAATTTTTAAATGGCCCTTTCTCATAGACAATTTGAGAAGCACTGTTCTCACGGATACTTACTTGAAGCAATGAACCACAATGCAAAACGTTTCTCAACCTTGGCACTATTAACATTTGGGATGGGATAATTCTTTGTTGTGGGGGCTGTCCCGTGCACTGCAGGGCGTTTAGCAGTGTCCCTGACCTCCATTCCCTAGACTTAAGCAGCACCTTCTCCAGTGTGGCGACCAAAATTGCCTCCAGACATTATGAAATGTCTCTGGCAGTGAAACCACCCCAGGCCGGGAATCACCACCAAGAGTGAGCCAGGTGTGAGGATAAATAGCACAGGTTCCAAGTCTTGGCTCTGCCATTTAGCGACCTGTATAGTCTTGGCAAAAAAAAATCTGTTCCCTTTCCCCATTGGTAAAATGAGTTAATAAAAGTACCAACACCAAAGGCTTTTGTAAAGTTAAAATTTTGTACACAATACATAAAATGCCTAGAACAATATGTGGGACATAGCTCATACAAAAAAAAAATAGAAATTTTAGATCCACAGGAAACCATAGCTTAGTTGTAGTGGACACAGGCAGACATAAAAACAATTATTACATGCAGTCTTACATAATGTGACAGATGTTACACAAACCAGTGAATGGCCCTCTCAGAATGGCGTGTGAGAGAATATACAGTATTCAGAGAAAAATTAATATTTGCATTACGTTTTAAATACTGAGCCAAAAAGATAATGAAGTATTCGAAAGAAAACAGCAAAAGTCTGATGGTGGTACAGGAACAGTCCAGCGAGACTTTTACCTTGCGTGGGAGGACGGGACAGAAAATAACTGGAACGGTAGTTCGCGGACAGACTTTACACTGCAGTAAAGAATTTATTCATTACTGGATAGGACATAGGGAGGCTTCTAAGTTGTCTCGTTTCCTCACCAGCTGAAACTCGTGGAAACCAAGTATCTCCATCTAAATCTCTGTGTGGGCAGAAGAGGTGAACACGACGTGTAGCAAAACACAAACAATGTTTACCTCTTGACCAGTGACGCCAATGGAGGGCGACGCCGCGGGCCGCAGCAACCTCCAGCCCAAAGACGCTAATCTCTAAGGCTGCACTTTGTCCCACGACTGGCTGCGGGGGAGATGAAGAAAGGAGGACAGGGGTGAGGAAGATTCAGGGAAAGGCGAGGAGAACCTGCCTGGCTTCCCTCCTATCTCGCGAATCAAATTAATCCACCCGTTGGCGCGCTGGGCAGACCAATTCGGGTTTCCCTCCCTTTGGAAAAACCTCACGCTTCTCAAATGCAAACCGCGGAGTTTGCCACAAACGTATTGGTCACAAAACTCACTCCCCAACCTGGACCGACTTGCGGGGTAAGCGCTTTCACTACTCACCAACGACTCTCCCCGTTTCATTGATTAACCGCTCGGAGGAATTCGCGCCCAAACAATCGAAAGTCCCAGAGACCCGGAAGTGGGCTTGTAGAAACAGGAAACGCTTGCTGGGCGGCTGGTGGCTAGTCACAACCCTGACGTCATCAGCAGCGCGCCCACGAGAGCGCGGTGCGATTGGCTGGGAGGAGGGCGTTGTCGACTACGCCCCCCGACTCCCGCTGGCTCCTGCGCTTGCTCCTTGCGGGGCCCAGCTCGGACTAGCGGGGCCCGGGGCGCTCAGGGGTCAGAGGCGCTCTCCCAAAGCTGAAGTCCGAGACAAGCCGGGCAGTGAGTACGGTTGTTGTCTTGGGGCACATCATTCTTTAAAAATCCCTTCATTCTTCTGGCTCCCCTCTCCCCCTTACCCCTGTCCTCTAAGGCTCTGTTCTTTCCACCCTCCCACCATTCTCCTTTTTTACCTTCCTACTGTGACGGTATCCCTTTCTCCTCTGCCTTTATCCTTAGGTTTAGATTCTCCACCGACCTCTCACTTTCATGAAAGGTGTTTTTAACGCCTGGGGTCCATGTCGCCATTTTTCCTGGTCACCCATCCACCTAGAGGTTCTTCTGGGCAGAGATCACTTCTTGTACGATTCCAGAAGCGTGCCTTGGTTCCACTTGTTACTGTGAGGTTTTTGTTTTTGTAAGAGGTGGTGGCACTCAAAGTGACTTTCCGTATACAGGTGGAGGTAACGGTGAGAGGTGGAATAAGAAAGGTCTAAATTGGCATAAAATTGTTAAGTTACTAGCTTGTTCTATCTAGAAAGAGAGCCGTCTCTCTCAGAAGCCGGAACCGTGGATAGTGTATGTGTGTAAAGTTTTAGATCACTTGATGATTTTCTCCTAATATGTTTAATGATTTATTTATTCTGACACTTAATTTAATTTGCATGCTATTGTTGTATGTTGGCTGAACATTAGAGGTGGCTGGTTCTTGAAGTATTAATGTGGACCTACATGAAAACAGCCAACACTTGAAAGTTATTTGCTTTTACATGTTGCTTCTTTGAATGTTTGACGTCTCTCTTGATGGATCTTCTAAGAAAATTTAATTCTGTTACTATCAGCAATAGTTCTGTTCTTATCTAAAAAATGATGTCTTTTTCCATCCTGTACCAATTTGCTGTGTGATTTTCAGGGAGTCACTTAGGTGGGGCTTTTCCCAGTCATTTGTCCAGGTTTAGGAAAGCCCCATGAATATTTTGTGTGAAATAATATGATATTTCCTGTCTATAATCTAGTCTCAGACAGTTTTCAAATTACCTTTTATGTCTACCACTACCCTAGTGGTTCAGTTATAACTTAATTATTTTCTTGCTTGCCTTTGAAGCTAGAACATGTAGTATATGGCTTGCAAGAAGATGGATGACAAGGACCCTATGTATTTAATGGAATAAAATGCATAATAGCTCTTAAAAAATAGTGGGAACTGTTTTTATATTTCAATTAGACTTTATTCTATGCATTTTTACCCAGTTGAACATATGGTATTTACAATTTTTATATCCTGATTCTCTCACTTAATATTTTTTTAGCCCATCTCCTTTTTAAAGGAACTGTATAACATATTTAAAATTTTGACTTATGTATAATATACTTACATGTAAGTGCACATAAAGTAATTATACAGTATGACTAATTCCCACAAATTAAATGCGTCTATATAATCAGCATTCAGATCATGACCACCCCAGAAGCTCCTCTCTTACTCCCTTTCTGTACTAGCCATCATAAGTAACTATTCTCCTGACTTCTAATATCAAAGATTAGTTTTGCCAATTTTTAAAATACATTTTAATACCTATGCTATAATTTACTTACTCATTCTACATTTTCAATGATGTTTCTTAGTTTTATTACAACTATAGGGAACATGTATTTCATGTAGTAAGTTTCCCAGGAGTGATGTTCCTCAGTGGAATAGCGTAATCATTTCTGAGACTTCTTGTACATACTGGCAACTTGTTTTCCAAAGTAGTTAAAGCAGTTAATACTCCAACCAGTGGTTTATGTCTTTTGTTTCACAACCCCCTAACAAAAGTTGAGTATTCTTATTTTCTTTTAAGTTTTACTAAATCGATAGATAAGAAATGGTATGGAAAATAGAAATTAAGGTTCACATTACTTCTTGACCTATCCACTATAAAACAATATGGCATGATGAGTATATTAAAATTTACATCTCAAAATCTTTTAAAATGCTAAGTTCTAACGAGTAGTAATTCAGGTGAATAGATTACTGCTTTGCTGTGTGGGATTTTCATCAAGTCATTTTATTTATTTCTCTGAACCTTAATTTCTACATATGTAAAATGATGAAATTGGACTTAGTTGGACTTAGACACCTAGTGTAAGACTGGTGCTAGTTATAGGAAATATATATAGATCTGATGTCACAGCAGTATATAGATTAGCAGAGAAGACATATATACACAGATATAAAAGAGTGGGAAAAAGTATGTTTACAGTTCGTATGGAAAATAATACAATAATAAATAATAATACAAGAATAAACTTCTTGTCCTCACGACTGTAAACCTATTTTTGCCCACTCCTGTATATAGAGATGTATATATGATATATGTTTTTATATGAATATCAAATATATCTTACATAAATAAATGTATTTTATATGAACATAAAAATAGTGTTCTAATACATTGTCATATGGGAGATGACAGATGTATAAATAGGGACACAGAGTTCTTTAGATTACTGAAGAGGCCATTTAGCCGAGCTTGTGGATTCAAAGAGAGGCTGTAACTTAAATTCAAGGACTTTGAAATGGGATTGCCTAGGTTCAAATGGTGACTTTTTTGTGTCTCAGTTTCCTTGTCTATAAATGAGGTGTTGTGAAAATTAAAATTGCTACTTTATATATAAAGTTCTTAGAGTAGTGCTGGGCACATAGAAAACCCTGCATGTTTGAGATGAAGCCTTAGCTGAATTAGCCAAAGAAGAACATTGTTGGCAGGTGGAAGAGCAAGAGCAAGTCACAGAACTTTGGAATATGAAGGGGACTGCAGGTAATCCAGTATTTATTGAACACAAAAAGTACAGAGGATGGTGAGTCTGAGAAGTAAGCAGGTCATGGTGGGCTTTACGTGCCTGTTTGTCTTCCTTATCGTGCTGTTATCCAGCAGCCAAAACAATGTCTGTCATAAAGTCAGTGTTACGTGACAACTTGCAGAATGAAAAAAACTCAATTAAAAGGCTATATGCTATATCCTCTATATGATGCAGAGCCTTTGAAAAATCTTAAGAGAAGTGTGACATCAGGTTTGCATTGGTGTTAGTGTATAGAATGGCTTAGAGGGGGCTCAGATTGGGCAGTAAAACCATCTAAGAGGCTATTGAGGTGGAGGACTAGAATTATAGTAAGTCTAGAGAAGAGGGGCCAAAATTATAAATATCAGGTATAGGAAGCAGAAAAAGAGAAGAGATGAAATAATACTAATATATCCTCTTCCTTCTCTTTTCTCACCAAATGCTCCCATTTTGCCTCTCTTGTAAAGAAACGCATCCTGTGCTTTTTTCCTAGGTCAGTTTTTGTTTGTGTTGGGTGTTTTCCATGCTCCATCATGTTGAGGGCTAAGAGTCGGCTCTTTCTGCTTTCACCTCATCACCTGAAGCAACTAAAAGAGTCATCAGGCTCCAGGCTTTTATGTCAGCGACTTCTGCACCAGCAACAACCGCTTCACCCAGGATGGGCTGCCCTGGCTAAAAAGCAGCTGAAAGGCAAAAATCCAGAAGACCTAATATGGCGCACCCCAGAAGGGATTTCTGTAAAGCCCTTATATTCTAGCAGGGACACCAAGGACTTACCTGAAGAGCTTCCAGGAATGAAGCCGTTCACACGTGGACCATATCCCACCATGTACACTTTTAGGCCCTGGACCATCCGCCAGTATGCTGGCTTTAGTACCGTTGAAGAGAGCAATAAGTTCTATAAGGACAATATTAAGGGTGAGATTTTAATGTGAGATGCAGTATTTATGATCAGATATAGACTTTCTAGTCTTGGTTTTTTTTGAGGGGAAGCTGGTTAATCTTTATAAAGATAATACTTGTTTTATAATTTTGTAGTTTAGAATATAACTCTGAAAAAAACGAATGGTTTTCAACTTCCATGGTCAAAAGATAGGTGAGCCAGAACAAAACATTAAATTCTTGAAAGCAAACAACAGTTGTATGCACATTGTTTCGATGTAATTTGGTGAAGTGAAGCTGTAAGAAGACAAGAGACATTGACTTTGCCTTTGAAATCTTTTATTAAACATTATTTTAGGTCAGGAGTTAGAGGAGAAAATGGTTTAAGTGATGCCTAAAGAAAGCAATAAACAAATAATAATGTGGTGCAAACATATTCAGTGCTATCCAGCATTAATTTTTTGAAAATCTTATTTACTATTTCTTCTTTCTGATCTACAATAAAATTACATTGTTTGTATGATAAACTTGAGGATATTTGTATTGGCGCTATGGAGGACTGAACTTACATTTAGTGTAGAATATTTTAGTTTTTCACATAATTTTCCCAGAAAATTTGAATAGCCAAGACATCTTATAATGACCATATTAAATAAAAGCAAAAATAAGTGAGCACACAAATACTAAATATTGTTAACTTTATATGAACAGCCAGATCTTTACATGAATCGTAAAACTATTTCTATCAAAAATTGTTAAAAAAAAATCCTCAGATGGACATGGGATTAGTGAGATCTTTTGTTTCTTTCATTCTTATAGTGAAGTCTGAAACTTCAGTTTGTACAGTTTAGCATGTGGGAAACAACTGACTATCTTAGGAAATAAAATATCTACTTAACTTTGTCATTTATGAGCATAAAAATTTTATAAAAATATGATAAGATTAATCAACAGTAGCGATAGGCAAATCAGTTTATTTTATATGCCATACTCTTTAATCCTACATTATTTTTTTCTTTATATATTTAGCTGGTCAACAGGGATTATCAGTTGCTTTTGATCTGGCAACACATCGTGGCTATGATTCAGACAACCCTCGAGTTCGTGGTGATGTTGGAATGGCTGGAGTTGCAATTGACACTGTGGAAGATACCAACATTC